AATACAATAGTTAATTTTGAATTATTATAATTCGTAAGTACTTTTAAACTCAAAACTATAGTATCATTATTTATATTAATAAAACGTAGATAGGTACGAACTTTTATAAAGCATATTGYATTTATTTAAAGTAGATATTACATTTTCTGAAGAAAATGAATAATAATTTTTATTATCACAGTGATTATATGGTCAGTGTTGTGAAAATGTGAAATTCTGATTTCTAATAATCATCCCCAATCTCTTAATTTATAAATATTAGTGTTTCTGTCAGCGTAGGTATACTCACTATACTCGATGTATTATTTAAATTGATGTACATTGTGGGGAATGATTTATATGTCAAAGTTTTGCCCAAGTGATACACAAAACCACCAGCTTGTWATTAAGAGTTGTGTATTATTTAGTAGATAGGTATCTGTTTTTAATATTCATAGTTCATATGACAAATCTATTTTTATGTAAGGCTATAGGCTTAGTAATTTTTAATAGTTTAGTATGTTTCTTGCCTTTTCCTTCAATTTAAACAAACAAACAGATCATTGAAATACAACTYGRTTTTTTTGTCCATGAGGTCAAAGCTTTGCTTCCCGATTGGTTGTAAATTTCTTCTTATTAGCATGCTAGTGGTCAAKTATAGTACCTATAACCTATTAGCTACTACTGTATTATTAGAATGTAATATTATAATTTTTTTTTTTCAACCCGAAGGTTGGTTTACAACTCCAATTCTCCATTCTAACAGATTAATCGCTTTTTCTTTAGGTTCTTTAAAGGTTTTGACTTTTGCATTAAATTTAATTTGTYCTATACCTATAAGAATTCTGGAGATGCACTGCAGTTTTCTTTTCTTCTATCATACCCCCTAATATTATATTATGCAATTCTTCTGGGCGTCTCAGGGCGTGTCCGATCATTTTCCAGCGTCTTCCTCTTATCRCGTCTATGAGTGTACGTTTTTCTCCCACTGTTCTAAGTACTTCTTCATTCGTTTTTCGTTCTATCCAACTTATCCTTTCCATACGTCTCAAGCACCACATCTCGAAGGCTTCTTTCTTTTCGGTATCATTTATTACCCAAGTTTCACATCCACATGTTGCAACACTCCATAATATGTTTTTATAAGTTTCTTCTTGATGTTAGATGTATCTTTTTTTAAGTGAGCAACTTATGTGTTTTACTGAAAGCAGTCTTTGCCAACGCTATACGTTGTTTTATCTCATGGGCACTCTTGCCATCAGACATGATTTAATTCCTAGGTATACCATTTCTTCTACCTGTTCCAGTTTTTGATTGCCTATGTATACATCAGCTTTTACTTTCGGGTCTCTGGCGCAGACTAAGATGTTCTAAGCACTTCATCCATTTCWTCAACTGCACACATGTCACACCTTCACCCTCCGCTATTACTACAATGTCATCAGCAAAATGTATCATTGAAACGATTTCTCCACCAATATTTAATCTTGTTAGCTTTGCTTTCACTATATTTATGACTTTTTCGATGTAGCAGTTAGAAAGTGGTGGTGATAACGTACACCCTTGTCGGACTCCATTTTTTATTTGAGCGTTAGTAGTGATTTTTCCTTTTTTAATGCAGGCTGTCTGGTTCTTGTACAGACTGTGAATTATTCAGTATTCTTAGGTCTTGTTGCTAAACACCTATTTCTCGTAGCGTGAGCAGCATTTTKTTCCAATTTACTTTATCGAAGGCCTTTTCTATATCTATGAAGGCCAAATATGTAGCTTTATTTCTATCGATCTGTTTTTCGAGTCTACGTCAWTTGGTCGTATACAATTGGTCGTGGTAAAATTGGTCGTTTGATAAAATAGTCGTAGTATATTTTTGTCGCGAAACGTGAATACTGGTTAAAAACGTTATGTAGGTACAAATGGACAATAATCATTATAAAACGTTTTACGATAATAAGTTGAATAACAGCGTGTGCAAATGTACAACTATCATTATTACAGGCTATATTATATTACGATAACAACTATTATCGGATGATCTTTATCTGGAATAAAAATAATATGTTTCATCTATAGTGTATAATATTGTGTAACATTAAATAATAAAACATTTGATGAATATATATCCGGGATAGCTCATAACTTATAATTATTGTCACAAATATTATTTTTACACGTATTATTTTTTAAAACTTAAACTTATTTTCATATATATTATTTACATATTTGTTACATATTATTATTTACACATATAATTTTGAAAACGACTAATTTACCAAACGACCAATTTTAGACGACCAATTTCATACGACCAATTGACTGTACCCACTGTTTTTCAATTAGCACTTGCAGTCCTAAAATTGCTTCTCGTGTGCCTTTTTGTCTTATAAATCCATATTGATAATTTTTAAGTATTGCTCCACTTTTCCTTCTATTCTTCGATTTATTATTTTTGTTAGGATTTTTGAGACATGTGTCAGTAAGCTCAGTGTTCTAAACTGTTCACAGGAATTTGCTCCACTTTTCTTTGGTATAGGAAATCTATGATTTTACAGTAATCGTCTGGCACATCTTCTTTCTCATATATATCCCGAGTTAGTTTAGGATATCACTGGAGAGCGGTAGCATCGGTCGAGAATTCAAGACGCCTTCGATCCGCGTTATGAGCGTTGTGAATTCCTCGGTAGTGTATCCTTGAGCACCCGATTTATCTGTATTATACCAATTTCCCATATTTTTGATTACYCACATAATAGCAAATTTCTTATASAGTGAATTAATAGCCAAAACTTTGAGTTCTTTATAATTTAGAAATGTAGAACCTTCTAAACTGTATTTATTTAGACATATTCTAATAATTTTATTTTGTTGCAGTTGTAGYGGTTTAATAGCTTTTTGGGTAAGACCTCCCCATACTAGAATGCCATATTGTAAGACTGCTTGGTATAAAGATAAATATATATTACGTACAATGTTAATAGGAAAAATGTCTTTAAGTTTACAGAATTTATACACTGATATTATTAAACGCATAACTATGTTATATATAATAATTATATAATTATATAACTATAATTATTATATACATTCCACCTTAAATTTTCATCAAAGGTAATTCCCAAGTATCGTATGAAAGGTACTTTTGAGATTGATTTACAAGTATTATCATTACATTGCTCCTTACTTCTACAATAATAGACAGTGATTTTATCGAAAGGTACGATTTCTTTGTTTATAGTAAAAGCCATAAAAACGGTTTTTTTAATATTTAATAATAGTTTCTTTGAACTTAAATTATTGACAACTTTTGTCAGTTCATTTCCTGATTTTTGGTATACTGAATTCCAAGTAGGACCAGAAAAAAGCAAACATGTATCGTCTGCATATGTAGTTATTTTCCCATCAATTTTGAGATTGCATATACTATTTATGTATAGTATAAAAAAGATCGGACCGAGTACACTGCCTTGAGGTACTCCGCAAATTATTTCCTTTTCTTCACTTAAAACATCATTTATCATAAAGATTTGTTTTCTTTCATATAAATAGCTTGTAAACCATTTTATACTACTCGTTTTCATACCAAAACTAGGTAGAATTCTAATTAATTCCGTATGATTTACCATGTCGAACGCTTTAGCAAGATCTAGAAAAATTGCCAAAGTTTTATTTCCCTTATCCGGTGCATTATAAATAAAGCTATTGCCACTATAAAGAGCCTCTTCGGTACCTATGCCAGGTCTGAAACCAAACTGATTTTTTGATAATAACTTGTTTGTTTTAAAGTAGTTTATTAAGTAGTTTTTTATAATATTTTCTAAAATTTTTGAAAAATTACATAACATAGAGATTGGTCTATAATTATTAACTTTTTGTTTATCTCCATTCTTATATATTGGAATTACTATTGCAGTTTTAAATTTATCGGGGAATATGCAATTACGTATACTTAAATTACATATGTATGTTATTGGCCTCAAAATACTTTTAGCTATATATTTTAAAAGTTTGACCGATATTTTATCATAACCAGCTGAGGTGTCATCTTTAAGTTTATCTATTATTTGATAAATATCCAATTCATTGATTTGTTCTTTAAATAATTAAATGCAGTATCAAAAGAATAATTTTGTAGTTCAGTAATATCTTCAGTATTAATATGATTATTACAGTTGTTAGTTTTTTGATTTCCCACCTGAATAAAGAAATCATTAAAGAATTGTGTCACTTTA